GACACTGGGCAAGAGTGACCGTTTGATGCGCGGCTTTCGGGGGCACCGGGGGAGGCCAAATCGTCGCAATCCAAGCGCCCAGTGCAGGCGCACCCCTGCGCGCCCGTACCAAAAGGTCACTCTGGCGAAGGGCCACTCTTACGCGTAGCCCGCGCTGTCGCACCCGGCCGTGCCTGGCCCGATCCCCTGTGGTGCACACTGGTGCAACCTGGCTCACCGTTTGCGTCGCGGTCTGCCTCTCCCGCTCGGCGCCGAACGGCTGGTGCCTATAGGCGTTGGCAACCTACGCCTGGCCGCGGTGTCCTATTCGGCCGTCCCCGACCGGTGTCCCCTGGCTCGTGTCTCGCGCGGTGGCTCCCTGCGGCCCGCGGCCGGCCCTCTGTGTCAAAGTCGGCCCCTCCTGGCCGAGTTGTGGCTGGCGCCCTGCGCACTCCCAGACATCCGGCTGCTCCAATTTCTGGGGGGCGTGGACCCAGGAGGTCCGGACCACTTCCCCGGGAACGGCTTCCCGTTCAGGGGGCCACATGCGCACCCTACCCCTACCCCCCACGATTTCGGAGGGCGAGGGTGGGGGTCACTTCGTTCGGGAGCTCCCGAGCGAAGTGACCCCCACCCTCCCACTCAGAAATCGTGGGGGGGTAACTACACCCTGCGAAATGCTTAAGAAATCCTGGGTTAAGAAATTCATAGTCTCAGAACTTGAATAAAAACCCAAACAATCCACTCTAATCTTAGGATTTGCATTGAACATTGAGAATAATCGAGACTCTGGCCGAAAATTTAAGTTTTCTTAAGCATCGCCTAAGGTGTAGGGGTAGGGTTCGCATGTGGCCCCCTATCATCCCGAATCGCTTTCTGACGCTCTCGAGGCCCGGCCAGGGCCCCCGGGGGCCGAAAAAACTGCCAGACACCGCCGGCTCCAGGTGTGTTGGAGTTGAGCAGGGACCGACCGTCCCGGCATTCCTACAGTCCTACCACGACATGTTCTTAGAACCCAAAAGCGCTCTAAGAACAGAAACAACGTTCTCAGAACAGATTCCCGATGTGTGAAAGCAAGACAGACTCCGCCAGAAAGGCTCCAAGAACATTTCCGGGAAGCCACAAGAGGTTCTTCGAACAGTGTTTGCTTGGGCTGTAGGCGCGCCAGGACGCTTCGCCGCTGCTTGAGAATCTCGGGGCAGGCGGCTCTGCAGGGTTCCAGCCTCCAGGGCTCTCGAGCCCCGGCCGGGCGCGTGGGCTCGAGCGCCGAGGAGGTGCGCGAGCTCGGGAGGCCCCTGGGCGCGCTGGAAGGGCGCCTCGCACAGCGGCGGCCCCAGCTTCTCGGCGCCCGCGCCGGGCGCGGGGCCGCCGCCTGGCCGGGGCCAGGTGCTGCTGCGAGGACGGGAACCCAGACATGATCGCGCCGCGAAGAAAAATAGCCTGGCGAAGGGCCGACCCAGATGCGGTTGTGAGCACCCTCGTCGGATGCACCGCGTTCCGAGGAGCTTCCTATAAGGCCACGAAGCGTGTGAGGGGTGTGCCAAAGGTTGTCCGGCGGGCGCATGCGAAAGCAGCCACTTGGGCCGTCGGTGGAATTACCTATGGGGCCACGAAAAGCGTGAGAGGAGTGCCGAAATAGGTGCGATGGGCGCATGCGAACGCAGCCACTGGGGCCGTGCTGAAATGGGTGCGGTGGGCGCATGTGAACGCAGCCACTAGCGCCTTCGGTGGAACTCCCTCCCTATGGGGCCACGAGACGCCTGAGGGGTGTGCCGAAACGTGGGTGGGTGACGCATGCGGGCGGTGGCACTGGGGCCTTCGGTGGAGCTCCCTCCCTGTGGGGCCACGAAACGCGTGAGGGGTGTGCCGAAATGGGTGGTGGTGACGCATGCGGGCGGTGGCACTGGGGCCTTCGGTGCGGAGCTCCCTATGGGGCCACGAAACGCGTGAGGGGTGTGCTGTAATGGGTGTGGGTGGCGCATGCGGGCGGTGGCACTGGGGCCTCCGGTGGAGCTCCCTATGGGGCCACGAAACGCGTAAGGGGTGTGACGGAATAGACGTGGGTGACGCATGCGGGCGGTGGCACTGGGGCCTTCGGTGGAGCTCCCTACGGGGCCACGAAACATTGGTGTGGGTGACGCATGCGGGCGGTGGTACTGGCGCCCTCGGTAAAGCTCCCAATGGGGCCACGAAACGTGTAAAGGGTGTGCCGTGCGTGGGTGACGCATGCGGGCGGTGGCACTGGGGCCTTCGCGGAAGCTCCCTATGGGGCCACGCAACGTGTGAGAGGTGTGGCGAAATGGGTGTGGGCGACGCATGCGGGCGGTGGTACTGTGGCCTTCGGTGGAACTCCATATGGGGCCACGAAAGGGTGAGGGGTGTGCCAGAATGGGCGTGAGTGACGCATGCGGGCGGAAGCACTGAGGCCGTCGTTGAAGCTCCCCATGGGGCCACGAAACGTGTGAGGGGTGTGCCGAAATGGGTGTGGGTGCCGCATGCAGGTGGTGGCACCAGGGCCTTCGTTGGAGCTCCCTACGGGGCAACGAAACGCGCGAGGAGTGTGCTGAAATGGGTGTGGGTGACGCATGCGGGCGGTGGCACAGGGGCCTTCGGTGGAGCTCCCTATTGGGCCACGAAACGCGTGAGGGGTGTGCCGAAACGTGGGTGGGTGACGCATGCGGGCGGTGGCACTGGGGCCTCCGGTGGAGCTCCCTCCCTATGGGGCCACGAAACGCGTGAGGAGTGTGCTGAAATGGGTGTGGGTGACGCATGCGGGCGGTGGCACTGGGGCCTTCGGTGGGGAGCTCCCTACGGTGCCACGAAACGTCTGAGGGGTGTGACGAAATGGGTGTGGGTGACGCATGCGGGCGGTGGCACTGGGGCCTTCGGTGGAGCTCCCTATGGGGCCACGAAACGTGTGAGGGGTGTGGGTGACGCATGCGGGCGGTGGCACTGTGGCCTTCGGTGGAGCTCCCTATGGGGCCACGCAACGTGTGAGAGGTGTGACGAAATGGTTGTGGGTGACGCATGCGGGCGGTGGAAACGTGTGAGGGGTGTGACGAAATGGGTGTGGGTGACGCATGCGGGCGGTGGCACTGGGGCCGTCGGTGGAGCTCCCTATGGGGTCACGAAACGTCTGAGGGGTGTGCCGAAATTGGTGTGGGTAACGCATGCGGGCGGTGGCACTGGGGCCTTCGGTGGAGCTCCCTATGGGGCCATGAAGCGCTGTACTGGGTGGATGAAACGCAAGGAGGAGGGAAGAGGGAGGAGGAGGGCGGAGGAAGGAAGAAAGGAAGGAGGATGAGAACGCGGGGACCGTCTCTTCAAAACGCGGACCCAACACCACAGGATGGTTGGGAATCAGGACGGAAGTTTTTTTTGCAATTTTCGGCCCCAGGGGGCCCTCGCTGGGCCTCGGGACCGTCAAACAACGATTCAGGACGAAACACCGGTCCCGGGGAAAGGGTCGGGACTTCCAAGGACGCCGTCCTGAAAAAATCAGGACGTCGCATGTCTGGGGAACAGTCTCATGATAAGATTGGGTCAGGATGCGTTACAAGATTTCCAAGGGGTATCTGGCGGCCCTCATATCTGCGACCGTGTGGAGCATGAGATCCTGGAAAGCTTCGAGCGCATCATTATCAAGACCTCTTGCTCCTCTGAGCTACGAGCGGCCACTGCCCAGGGAATTGAGCAAAGACCGACCATCCCAGCGTTCTTCTTAGGCCTGAGAGGGAGTGTTCTCAGAATCTACACAGACAGGAAGACAGGTTGGTTACACAACGAGACTGTCTCAGCCAGAAACGTTCTAAGAAAATCTCGTGCAAACCATAAAAGGTTATTAACACATTCTTCGTTTGGGTGTGTGGGAAGGCATCTCCCAGCTCCGTTGCATCTTCATCACAGCACGCAGGTGCTACGCACGCACTTTGCGTTCTCATCTTGACAAGCGCTGCAATCTCGCATGATGATAATGTCAAATGTATTGAAGCCACTATCAAACATATTGAGGGCGTGTCAAACATGTTGGGGGCAATCGACCTCACAGGGTCGAGGGGGGCGGGGCGGCTTTGCGCCGATGGCCCACTCCCACCGGGACTGTAATGGTGGCTCGAGCCCTGCTAGGGTCACGTATTTGACGCCGGCAGCATGCGCACAACACAGCAATCGCTCGCCTGCTTCACTGGGCGTGCGCAATGCGCACCGGAAGCAAATCGGATTTTCTGGGCCTGGAATCGATCCTCCCGAGCGGGGTGCCCAGCAGAGTCGGCGCAATCATGGTGTGGAGAAGAGGGGGCCCCAGGCACAAGCCCAGACAGAGGGCCAGATCTCTGATCCACATGCCTGGGCCTACACGGGGAATGCTCTAGACTGGGAGGATGCAATTAAAAGGACGAGCAAGCCTGCTGGATAAATGAGGCGAGCGAGAAATTCTGGTTCTGTGCAGAAGTCCCCAGGGAGGTGGCGCCTCGAAATGCGAGCGAGGATGACGCAGCTAGCTCCCCAGATCGCAACTCATGTGCTCTCTGGCTGTGGCGCAATTCTAGCCGCCCTCCGAGGGCAGGCGGCCTTGCCGCTAGACGCCCTCCGCGCCGACCGCACGCAGCCCAAAGGTGAAGCAGACACCCTCGATCACCAGCAGGCCCGCTACGACGAGGAAGCCGCCGTGCTTCATGAAGTCCCTCGCCCCAACGAAGCCAGAGGCCAGTGCGATCGCGTTCGGCGGCGTGCTGATCGGCAGCACGAAGGCCATGGAGCACGCCAGGGTCACTGGCAGCATGAGCACCAAAGGATCCAGATGCAGCCGCGTCGCCAGGGCGTAGACGATGGGAAGCAAGATGTTCGCAGTTGCCACGTCGCTCATGAAGGTGGACGAGAATGCTGCTACACCCATGACGATCAGCGCAACTAGGGGTGCTGGCATACCGCTCAGGCCTGCCATGGCATTGCCCATCCTTACAGTCAAGCCAGACGCGACGAACGCGCTGGAAATCACCCCGCCGACGCCCACCAACAGAAATAGATCGAACGGAATCTTGGCTGCGATTCGCTTCCAGTCCAGGATGGCGCCTCCTTGAAACTCGCTGCTGGGGACGAAGAAGAGCAGCAAAGAGGTGGCCATGACGACCGTGGCGTCCGTCGTGCCCTCCAGTCCTGGGGCCCACTTGGCGGGCTCTCCGATCCACAGCACCACGGTGAGAGCGACGGCGCACAGAACCACCACCTGGTCGCGCGAGGCTCGGCCCATGGAGGCGTAGGTTTCTGCCAGGGATTGGGTTGGGATGGCGTAGCCTCTTGGCAGCTGCGTGCCGCCGAAGGCGAAAGACAGCCACGCCCAGCAGAAGCAGAGGAGCAAGATGCTGACCGGAAGGCCGACCGCGAGCCACCTCGCGCAACTGACGCCCTCGCCGACGAGGGACTCGTAGGCTGCTGCGAAGGCCAGGTTCGTCCCCGTGCCGGTCTTGGTCGAGATGCCCCCGATGGTGCAGCTGTACGCCACGGCTGTCAGCACGCGCCCGAAGAAGGGGCGCAGCGCGTCGGCCAGCTCGCCCTCGGACAGCGGGAGGGCGGAGCCCTGCTCGAGATCGCGTGCCACCCCCGCCGCCCGCGCGGTGCTCTCTCCGTGGAGGTCGCAGGGCACCGCGCCCGGGGGCGCCGCGCCTGCTGGTGGCAGCTCGCCCTGCCTGGCCTTGCGCTCCACGGCCACCAGCTCCTCGTAGACCGCGACGGCCATGGGGCACGCGATCGAGCACGTTGCTGTGTTGGACATGACCGCTGACAGCAGGGCGGACACCAGCATGAACGATGCCAGGAACGCTCTTGGACTGCTCGGTGTGATCGAGAGCAGCTTCAGCGCTACCCGCTTGTGGACCGCGGTGCTCTCGAGGGCGAGGGAGAGCAAGACGCTGCCAACCAGCACAAAGACGGTGTTGCTGAAGTATTGCCTCGCCACGTCCTTGCCAGAGGCCACGCCGAGTAAAGGATAGAGAACGACGGGCAACAGTGCCACAACGCCCAAATGCACCACTCCTGTGACCCACATGCCGGCCATCAAGGCAGTAGCCGACACCACCGCACGCTGCTGAGCCCACTCTTCGGCACCTTCGCTGGTCGTGGGGATGCTCATGAGCCCGAAACACAGCGCGGCGAACGTGAATACCGCGAGCAGGGGCCACGGCAGCTGTCTTCCCAAGAATGCCCTGCTGAGCCTGGCGCATCGCCCCTGTATACCCGAAGCGCCCATGGCAGCGAGCCAATTGCCAGGCGCTATTTGTGCGTGGGCACTGCGCCCAGGCCGCTTGATTCAAAAGGGACTTGAGCCAAAAATTGCTACGGAGGTTATTAAAACATTATTTGGTGTCGGAACGCTTCGCAACTGTTTGAAAGAGGGCGACGAACCGAAAGGGGCTCCGTTGGAGCTCCCTATGGGGCCACGAAACGTGTAAGGGGTGTGACGAAATAGGTGTGGGTGACGCATGCGGGCGGTGGCACTGGGGCCTTCGGTGGAGCTCCCTATGGGGCCACGAAACACTGGTGTGGGTGACGCATGCGGGCGCTGGTACTGTGGCCTTCGGTAAAGCTCCCAATGGGGCCACCAAACGTGTGGGGTGTGTGCCGTGCGTGGGTGACTGGGGCCCTCGGGGGAGCTCCCTATGGGGCCACGCAACGTGTGAGAGGTGTGGCGAGATGGGTGTGGGTGACGCATGCGGGCGGTGGTACTTGCCCACACATCAACCGTAAACGTATTCATATGTATATATCATATCCTTCAGCGGCCGAGTGCATCACCACAACGAGAGCTAGAACACGTTGCAAAACAATGGCACACGGCTTCGCGACTGCGCACACGCGCACACATTCTGTACGTCGCGGTCGCGACTTGGCGGAGGCAGTCCGCACGCGCGCTCGAGCGACCGGGGGGGGGCCAGCGCGAACTGTCCGGCGGCACGAGGGGGGAAGAAGGGGAACAGGCGGGCGGCCGCGGAGGGAGGGAGGGCGACGGAGGGCGGTCACAAGGCGAGGCGCATCGCCTTGAAGCGGCCGGGGCGGCCAGCCAGTTCACACACACACATACTTAAACGCACTTGAACACACACACACACACTGTTTTGGCATCGCGGCCACACGCGCGGCGCCGCGACACTGGGCAAGGCCAAGCGAAACAGCGGCGCGCGGGCCACGGCCAGCTCACGCGGCATGGAAGAGCCAGATCCACCCACAGGGGGCCGCACAGCATTACTCGCATAGGTAGCAGTCGCGAGGGGGACGCGGGAGGGAGACAGGGGGAAACCTACGAGGGAGAAGACGATGCTGAGGACGAAAAGCGATGCAGGCAGCAACGGGCCAAGCCCAAAAACGACATCACACATACACACACACACACTGGGTTAATGATGCGAGGACAACACACGCACACACTCAAACCTACAGGGAGGAGGAACGGAGAAGGGCAAGGATATGAAGGCTCTATAGGTCTGGGCATGGGTGCTCTTATGCAAGCTGCCACATGGCACGAGACCAAAACCTCGCGACCATACACCGTGTCTCCGAATGGTCGGCAAACCTACTAGCATCAACGGGATCAAGAAACAAGCCCGCATGAGACCCCTGAGGAAAACCACCCTCGCAGGCAGCGCGCCCTGGCGACACACGCCTTGGGTCGGCGGCACACGCGGCAGCCCGCAGATAATCATAGTCCGCATCACCCGACCCCAGACCCCGGCGCCGCGACTTCTTCCTGGTGTGGACCCCCAGAGGTCTGGACCCCTTCCTGGGTCACCAGCTTCTCGTCCTGAGTGGATGCCAGACGGCCCCGAGACCCAAGCAAGACTCCCAGAGGTTGCACCGCGATGTTGATTTCACGACGCGAGGGAGTAGGGGACTGCCGCGGCGCCCGAGGTCTCGGCACCGACCCCAGCCCATGTCGGCGCAGGCGAATAACTGGCGCGCCACCCGACCTCCGTCGCTGCCGCCGCCGCCCACACTTACGTCGGGCCTGTCCCCCTATTGGGGAATGTTGGATGAAACATCGAAAAACATCAGAACATGAACCAGCACGTATCAAAAATGGTCAAACACCGTCCCCGTACAATTGATTGCCTTCTTTTGGGAGATTCCCCCTGCAGAGGGACAGGCCCGACTGAAGCCCACGCCCTCGCCGCAGTCGCCGTCTGCGCCGCCGACGCGCCCCGCTGCCGCCTCGCGCCGTCGCCCGCGCGGCGACGACGGCGCCGCCGCCACCGACGACGCCGCCGCACGCGGAGGCCGCCGTCGTCGCCGGCGCGGCCGCAAGTCGCCGCAGGTCGGCGGTCGCTGGGGGAGCGAGGAGGCACCCATGCCCAGAGGGTTCCAAATGCGGGCCGTACTTCTGTCCACATCCACTGTCGGGGATGGACACACCCCCCTTTAGTAAAACGTGGTCTAGTGAAAACGACCTGAGGCCCAAACCTGGCGGGCGCCAGCCTGGAAAATCACGGCCACGGCGCCCTCTCGAGAACCGAAAACGGACAATTCACTAATCGACGTGTCACTGTTGGGGTTTCTGTCCACCCCCGACACTGCAGCTTGGAGTTCTAGGGCTCCTTTCCCCAGAGCCCCGAGGCGCACTGGATATGGCTAAAGGTGCTGGCCCCTAGAGGCTAGATTTTTATCCCTGTCCAGTGCGACCCAGCCTTGTGGCGCGCCTTCTAAGAAAGTCCAAGACGCACTGGATATCGATGTAAATCTTGACCGCACCAAAGGGGGGGTTGGGGGAGGGGGTTTTCCAGCAGTGGTCCCCCAGGGGCTTCGCACCCCCTGTTCTGACGAGGTTCCGAGGCCCCTGGGGGGCTCTCTGGGACCGCTCCGTGGGGTGTGCCCTGGCCAGGATCCCGAGGAGATGTTCTGGCCGAAGTGGCGGGGGGCTCTCCAGGACGGTGCCTTTTTCCCTAGTGGCGTTCGGCTAGAGGGTTCTCAACGTGGTATAAGTTGTTTATGCTTTTATTTATCTTACATATATATACATATATATAATGGTATTATGCGCACAAAATATGGAAGAGTCGAACCAGGGGGGCGGCGAGTCTGAGGACGCCCGGTCCAGCAACCGCTGCGCCCGAGATGACCTCAGAATTGATTCAGGACTCGTGCTCTCGCCTCAATGCGGCTACATGTTCGGCTTGCTCGCGCCTCAATGCCCCTGCAACAAATAAACTAAGGTGCGCATGGTCGTGCTCTCAACCCTGTCCCGCATAGCCGACCATCTGCTCCGCGACCCGCCTCTTCAACTTTGCTGCTAGTCGGTCTCTTCGCTGGGGCAATCCTCCTCTGAGTCGTGGCGGCCTTGCCGTCGACGGCGTCGTCGTCGTCGGCGCCCGTTCGTTCGCCGCAGATCGGCATCGTAGCGACGTCGCCAGTCAAGTTTTCGGGTCGTGACTCGGGTCTCTGGCAACCGTTCGGGACGATCCAGGCATCCCCAAAACGCACGGCGATGCGCAGCGGCTGGAAAGCATCCCGTGGGCCGGGAAACCGCCGAGAACCAACAGAAACTATACCGGAAACCGCTTTCGTCCGACCTGAAAGGCGCGTCGTCGTCGTCGACGTCGTCAAGGTCATCGTCGACTTCGTCGACGTCGTCGTCGTCGACATCGTCAAGGTCATTCATCGTCGTCGTCGTCAACGTCGTCGTCGTCGGCGACGTCGTCAAGGTCATTCATCGTCGTCGTCGTCGACGTCGACGTCGTCGTCGTCGGCGACGTCGTCAAGGTCGTTCATCGCCGTCGTCGTCGACGTCGACGTCGTCGTCGTCGGCGACGTCGTCAAGGTCATTCATCCTCGTCGTCGTCGACGTCGACGTCGTCGTCGTCGGCGACGTCGTCAAGGTCATTCATCGTCGTCGTCGTCGCCGTCGACGTCGACGTCGTCGGCGTCGGCGTCGCGGGGCCGCTCGCCGAAGGCGCGGGTCTCCGCGAGCGCAGGGCGCGGCAACCCGAGGGCCGCCATGGCGCGCTCGGGGGGGGGGGGGGCCGAGGCACTTGTGGCTGACACGGCGGCGCGTCGTCGGCGGCGGCGTCGTCCAACTCCTCCCTCCTCCTCCCTCCTCCTCCTCCTCCTCCTCCTCCTCCTCCTCCTCCTCCTCGTCTTCACCTGTTTCCCTCGTTTTTTTTGTTCCTTCTCCTCCTCCGTTCCTCCTCCTCCTCCTCCTCCTCCTCCTCCTCCTCCTCCTCCTCCTCCCCCTCCTCCTCCTCATCGTATCCCTGCCCTCCCCCTCCTCCTCCACTTTTTGGACGCCCGAAATGGGTACCGAAAAAATGGGTACTATGCCCAACAGCAAATGTTGTCCCAAACCAACAGCGGCCGCTGTTGGGCGGGCGGCCTCCTGTCTCGAATTGACACAGGCCGAGGCGGCGCGGACAGCGAGCCCTGTTCAGAATGAACAGGAACTGCTGTTGGGCACTGTGCCCATTCCTTCGGTGCCCATGTCGGGCGTCCAGACACTTGTTTCTGGATAACTCCTCCCTGTCACACCCTCCGTCGTGTCGGAAGGGCGGGCCGTGCGTTTCGCCTGAGGCCTCCTCGCCATTTGTGATGCAGCTTCACTGATGGAGGGTGCGTCGTGTTCAAAATGCCGCCGTAGCGCCGCGCACATTCGTCCGAAAAGTTCGCAGCTGCTTCACGGATGAGGGAGGGTGGCTTTTGAGATGTGGCTGTCGCCGCAGCGCGGCGCACATTCGCCTTGTTCACAGCAGGCTCAAACATTCGCATGGTCGAAATTCCAGGCACGGTGCCAGGGCGCAACACCAGGAATGCTGTTCTGGCAGTCTGCACGTGCCAGGACGCAACAGTCACGGTGATCCGCGGCGTCAAAGTCGCAGGATCGGCGTTTCTGTAAGATTGAAGATAGGGATCCTGGAGGGAGGGTGTGTTGCAACATCTTTGATGTATCTTGGGTTTGCACTGGTCCTCCTCCTCCTTCCTCCTCGCCGATCCGCCTCCTCCGCACAATGCTGCTAGTCATCCTTCAATCTCTTCCTCCCCTCTTCTTCTCCCCTCGCCTCCGCGAAGTGGGAAGGGATGGGTGGGAGGGGTAGGATAGAAGATATGGCGCGAGAGCACCTAGCTTGCCTCCCAGCCCTCCCGCCTTCATGATCTTTCCATAATGTGGACTCCCAGAAGACTCGACCCATTCTCCAGGACAGCTTTCTCACCCTGAGCCGTTTTCTGACGGCCCTGGGGCCCAGCGAAGGCCCCCAGAGGCCGAACAACACCAAAAACCTTCGTCGTGATTTTTGTTCAGGACCCGGGGGCGTCTGGGCCTCTCGCTCCTTCATGTCTTGGTTCCGGGCGAAGGGGGTCTTTCGTAATGAGGTCGCCAGAACACTTGCTATAGTTCACTGTGGCGCAAGGCGCGTGGCAGCCAGGCGCTGATATTGCACGACGTGCGTATCCCGCACGACCGATTACGCGAACTATTGCGCACATGTTCGAGACCCTCTTTGCAAAGGGCCCATTCCCACGAATCCGAATCTCACTTTCCCCGCCCTCTGTTGAGCAGGGACCGGCCGTCCCGGCATTCCTATAGGCCTGTCACGCCATGTTCTTAGAACCCCAAGTTGTTCGAATCACAGAAACAGCGCTCTCAGAACATAGCACGACATGTTCAAACACGACGGTCTCGGCCAGACATGTTCTGAGAACAGGTGGCGCAGACCACTCGGGGATGGACAGACCCCCCTTTAGTAAAACGTGGTTTAGTGAAAACGACCTGAGGCCCAAACCTGGCGGGCGCAAGCCTGGAAAATCACGGCCACGGCGCCATCTCGAGAAACGAAAACGGACAATTCACTAATCGACGTGTCACTGTTGGGGTTTCTGTCCACCCCCGACACTGCAGCTTGGAGTTCTAGGGCTCCTTTCCCCAGAGCCCCGAGGCGCACTGGATATGGCTAAAGGTGCTGGCCCCTAGAGGCTAGATTTTTATCCATGTCCAATGCGACCCAGCCTTGTGGCGCGCCTTCCAAGAAAGTCCAAGACGCACTGGATATCGATGTAAATCTTGACCGCATCAAAGGGGGGGGTGGGGGAGGGGGTTTTCCAGCAGTGGTCCCCCAGGGGCTTCGCACCCCCTGTTCTGACGAGGTTCCGAGGCCCCTGGGGGGCTCTCTGGGACCGCTCTGGGACGCACTGGACAATTCACTAATCGACGTGTCACTGTTGGGGGTTCTGTCCACCCCCGAACCGCAAAAGGCTCTCAGAACACTTTCTGGTGGGCCTCTAGGCAAGCCAGGACGCCTCGCCACTGCTCGACTCGTACGGATCCCCCCGGCGCCGCAGGCGACCCGAAGAGGAGGAGCAGGAGGAGGAGGGAGAGGGAGGGAGAAGGAGGAGGAGGGGGAGCTGAAGGAGGGAGGAGGAGAGGAGGAGGAGGAGGAGGCAGAGGAAGGAGGGAGGAGGAGGAGGTAGGAAGGAGGAGAGGCAGGAGGAGGAGGAGGAGGAGGAAGGAGGAGGAGAGGAGGAGGAGGAGGAGAGGAGGAGGAGGGGAGGTGCCCCCGAGCCCTTCGGAGGCACCCTCCGAGCCCGGCCCTGGCAGGCCCGCCCGCGTGGGCCGCCTCCGCCCCGCCGGGCCGCTCGGCGCGGGGGCTCCCCCGCACCCCGCGCGGGGCGGGCCGCCCCGCAGAGGCCCGCCGCCCGCGGCCGAAGGCACGCGCGGCCCGGCGCCGCGGCGCCCCGGAAGGCCACGCCGGCGCTCGGCGCTCTTGCGAGCGGAGACGCGAGGCCCCGGGTGCCGGGGACTCGAGTTGGCCTGGCAGGAGGGCCCTCGTGAGAATGACGAGACCCGCTCTGGAATTGGGCGCGAGCTCACGCGGCAGACCTCCCAGGGAAACTGGGCCGTCAAGATCCAGGGCGCGCTAGCCAAAAAAAAACCTCGGCAGGCCCGAGTTCCGGCTGATTCGAGTCTCACGCTTCCCCGACTCTTGCGAGCGGGGCAGTGGCCAGCGGCAAAGGGCCAGCAGGGCGGGCCGGAGGGGCAGGGCGCAGGGGCGCAAGAGAAGAGAGCACCGCACAACTCCAAAAAACGGTGGGCGCCCCGCGCGGGTCTCCCGGATCCGCGCCGCACCACGCCCCCGGCGGCGCGTCCGGCGCCGCCCCTGGCGCCCTCCGTGCGCCAGGGAGGGACAAACAGCACATACAGTGCAGCGGACGCGTTCCGAGGCCTGGCCATGGGGGGGCTCCTGGGACGGGGCCCCCCCCGCGGCCTGCCCCGTGCAGGCACTGCGGCCGCGACCGCCGCTCGGGCGCGACGCGCCTCCCGCCGAGCGCCCACCCCCTCCCAGAGGGCCGGCGGGGCGGCCAGGGCCGCTGGTGTGCCGGCCAGCGCCCTCTGGAGGAAGCTGCGGCGGGAGGCCGCTTGTCGGGCGCGGGGGGTCCAGGGAGGGGGGGGGGGGGGGGCAGGCGCTGCGGTCCCTGCGGCCCCTCCCGCCGCTTCACCGTGCTCCGCCCCTCCTACCCCCGCCGCCCTCCAGCCGCGTCACGCTCCCTCCGTCCTCGTCTCCCCTCCTCTCGAGGGGAGGGGGGACTCGAGGGAGAGGGACAGGGGATGCAGGAGGAGGAGGAGGAGGAGGAGGAGGAGGAGGAGGAGGAGGAGGAGGCAGGAGAAGGACGGAGAGAGGAGAGGTGGAGGTGGGCGGGCGGGCGGGCGGGCGGGCGGGCGGGCGGGGTTAGTGAGAGGAGTGAGGAGAGCGCGAGGAGGAGCGAGGAGTGGTTCGATGTCCCCTCCCTCCTTCCTCATTATGGTCATTCTCTCATTTACCTGGTATGCACTTGCTACAGCCACTCACTATCGTGACCAGGCTGTCGAGTTTGATGAACCCCCTGGGGCCGACCAGCCCTGGGGGGACGGCAGTCAACGACTCCTCGCGCCATCGGGTTCCAGGTTCCAGGTTCCAGGGAGGGCGCACGGGGGCAATGCCCGCCACTGACAAGGAGAGGCCCCGCTGCCGCCGCCGACGCCGCCCTCCTCCAAATGCACCCGCGAAAGCACCGCGCGCGGGGAGCCTGGGGGAGGAGGAGGAGGAGGAGGAGGAGGAGGAGGAGGAGGAGGAGGAGGAGGAGGAGGAGAGAGGAGGAGGAGGAGAGGAGGGGAGGAGAGGAGGTGGAGGAGGAGGAGGAGAGGAGGGGGGAGGAGGAGGAGGAAGAGGGGGCACCCTGAGACACTGAGCCCTGAGCTGAGCGTCGGCGGCGCGCCCCGAGGGGGGGGGGGGGGAACGGAGGCAAAGGGGGCTGGCCTCCCCCAAAAGCCACGGACGGCCTCCCAGAGGGCGCGAGGCCTTCCGAGGATCCCGGCCGCCTCCCGCGAGGCCCGGGCCCGCCTGCCTTCGCCCCCGCGGGGCGCGCCGCCGAGAGGTTCTTGCTGGCGCTTGGGAAGAGGCATATTGGATGTGCTTGCGCGCGCGCTTGGGGAGTGGTTGGGGGTAGCCAGGGGGTGAAGGTGAAGAGCTTCGCCTGGTGGCGCTGTGCCCGCTTGTGGATCGATCCCCGCCCCCCGTGACATGGCCTGGGCCCCTCCTGGGTTGGGATGCATGCGGCTCCCTTCGGGCTTCCCGGAGCCCATCCCTCGCGTGGCGGGGAGGCCGCACGGCCCATGGCCGTCCCGGGCCCGAGGTGCCGCGGTCCACGGCGGCACGGAGGGTGGGCATGGGCGGTACGATGCCGGTGGACGGAAGAGGTCGTGATCGGCGCCGCTTCAGCCCAGAGGCCCTCTCTGAACAGCAGGGTCGCGTCGTAACGACCACGGCGCTGGCTTCTGCCACCACGCGGATCGCTCACACTCGAGGAGGAGGCAGGAGGAGGCAGGAGGCAGGAGGAGGAGGAGGAGGCAGGAGGACGGAGAGGAGGACGGAGAGGCGGACGGAGAGGATGTTAGTATCGTTGAGGAGGAGGAGGAGGAGGAGGAGGAGGAGGGGACGAGGAGGAGGACGGAGGAGGCGGAGGCAGGAGGAGGGAGTGAGGAGGAGGAGGAGGAGAAACGGCCGGAGGAGGGAA